TGCAAATTGCCCATTTCAGATCACATGACATTCCCTTGAGAATTGTTCTTTTATAACGAACATGTTAAGATATTTACACATGAAAGAATCAACTCCCAACAGTGGCATCACATGGTCTGTAACATGCATAACAAACAACGAAGCTAAAAAGGTCTATTGTGGTCGTCTAACTTTCGTATTTATGGTTTATTCAGCTAGTTTGTTTGTCTGTCCGTCTCTAAATCAGTGAGACAGCCCAGTCATACAGTCTGCCAGCCTTTCTGTCAAACAGTCAATTCGTGTCATTTTAACTTTCATCTTCACGGTTTATCCACAGGCAGACGTGGTGTATTTTGTGCCTGTCACCTCTGAATTCATAGAAGACGTCATCAAGCGAGAGAGACCTGATGGACTGTTGTTGTCAATGGGCGGACAAACTGCACTTAATTGTGGTATGTTTAAATTACTCCAACGCCCAATAGCAGCACAATAAGACTTTGGTCATGTGTTCGTTCCAAGCACTGGTCCTCAGTGTTTTTTGCGTGGGGGAGGGAGGGTTGGTGCATGATGATTGATGGTTCAATGAGAGGGGGGACAGCAGGTAAAGGTATAAAGGAAAAAGATAGACAAACGAAGAGTCGAAAATTAATGCAAGGGTGCAGGAGACAAGACATGTAAAGTTGATTGCGTATATTTTCTTCTTGTTTTGCACCTCTCCCTTTTCCCTCTCACTGCCCTCTCACACATACTAGTCTTCATTCTCATACGGTAAGTTAACGATGTGAGTACAAGCTTATTTGCACAAGAAAACTATTTATAAACATTCACTTGTAATGTTACCAGTGTTTTAGAATTCCGTAAACTTCTGAGAGGCTAAACCAAAGAAACTAAACTAAAGAAAGAGGCTATAAACCTGTAAACAATCAACAATTTTTCTAACAATCTTATTTATTTTTCAAAAAACATTGGTTTTTTTTTATTCATTAAACATTGTATTAATTCTTTAATTAGGTGTGGAGTTATTCGATAATGGAGTGTTAAAGAAGTATGGTGTTCAGGTAAGAACAAGGGGAGTAGTCACTTGAATAAGGTCAAACATCACACCACGTGGAACGATCACGGTACGGGATCAGTTGGTACGTGAAATTCAGTGAAGCAGTCGCAGCGCGCGAGAGATTACTGTTTATCCAATCAAAAAGCTGGGACGGGACACGACACAATACGAACATGTCGCTTTCACAGTTTTCGTATGACTGTGAAAAGTCCACGGCACGAACACGGTCGTGACACAGCAAGGGATACGCCAGACCAATCACATTGCACGAGAGTTTACTCTCCATCCAATCAAATACCCGGAGCACGGCATAAACACGGCGCGGACACGGTCAAGCCAAGATCACGACACTTTTAATTAGACCAATCATATTGAGCGTGAAAAAAATCAGCCAATTAAAATTCTAGAAAGTATCACGGTCACGGCACGTCACGCTTACGGCACTGAGCTTTTCACAGTCATACGAAAACTGCTCTAGGTTTGGACTGTTCGCAATAGACCATTTTCGAGTTCCAGTGCAAATTACCGCTGTGTTCCCTAAATACACACTCAAATATTTCAACGGTAAAGTAAAGAATGTATTTAGTCCGTCTTAATGATATAAACAACGACCCAAAATATTCTTCACATGATTTCTTGGTGCTAGGTTCTTGGGACGCCTGTTGAATCCATCAAAGCCACTGAAGACCGACAAATATTTGCTGACAGACTAAAAGAAATCAATGAAAAATTAGCTCCAAGTGTTGCTGTTTACAGTGTGAGTATTCAGTAATAACATTTGCCGATCATCATAAGTAACACGTGACTATAGTGTCGCAAGGAGACTCTAGTGAATAGAGAACACAAAATAGACCTCTTAGCTTGGACGTAATGTTTTCCCATTACAGGAGGGGGAGAGTGAGGGAGAGGCAAACCAGCAACGTTTTGGGAAACCACCTACTCGCTGAAGGAACTGCCGATTCAAAACGTAGCTTTCACATTCAAATTTAATACTTATTCTAGTTTAGGGTTTTGTACTCCAAAATTATTCTATATTCTAAGCTCTATGGTAAAGAAGGCAATATTAATCTAGGAACTACCCATGGTTTGAAATACTAACATTACGCGAGTCTGCTGCAAGAGTTGCTTGTTTTTACAGCATGGTAGTAAAGTTTTTATTGGTCAATATGTTGTTTTAATTTCATTTTAGGTGGAAGAGGCTTTGAAAGCAGCCATGACCATCTCTTACCCAGTCATGGTGAGATCAGCATACGCTCTTGGAGGACTGGGATCTGGAATCTGTAAGGATGAGGCAAAGCTAAAAGACGTAGCGAAAAGAGTAAGTATATATTTGGAATGGATGGGAATGAGATGGGAAATGGGTTTGAGTGGAATGAAATTTATTTGAATGAAAAACATAAGAACAAATGAATGGAGAGACGAAGGAACAAAAGACGAAAAAAATGAACGAACGAACGAACGAACGAAAGAACGAACGAACGAACGAACGAACGAACGAACGAACGAACGAACGAACGAACGAACGAACGAATGAACGAACGAACCAATTGTTTTGCTTTCATTTCATTCACCAGTTAACCTATTTTGAATCAATGTTCTGATAGGCTTTTGCCATGTCAAATCAACTTCTGATCGAGAAATCATTACTGGGATGGAAAGAAGTGGAATACGAGGTGGTTAGAGATGCAGCCAATAATTGCCTGACTGTCTGTAACATGGAGAATCTCGACCCCTTGGGGGTACACACGGGGGATTCTGTGGTGGTAGCGCCAAGTCAGACACTATCAAACAAAGAGTACCACATGCTGAGAGAGACGTCTATTAATGTGAGTCGTGGGAAAGTAGTGATAACTACTGATCTATTGATTTTTTTCATATATGTTTGAGAAATCCTTTAGCCTCATACAAAGACGTAACGTCGTTACACAACGTTGGGCGAAGAAACGTGACGACCCTTAAAACGTCGTTTTATGAGGCTACAAGACTTCCAGTCTATAAAATCCTAGCCTCATACGAAGACGTAACGTCGTCATACAACGTTGAGGAGCAAAACGTGACGACACTAAAATGAACATATGCGTAGGGCGCTACAGGAATCCCAATCTATAGGATCATAACCTCATACGATGACGTGTCGTCACCCAATTTTTCCGCTCCCCAACGCGTTTGTACTTCTTTAGTCGCCCACGTCCTGACTTTGATCAGCTGACACGGTCGTATCAGGGTTCATTAAAATTGATTGGGTAATATATATATGTATATTTTGGACAGGTCGTGCGTCACTTTGGAATTATTGGGGAATGTAACATTCAGTTTGCACTCCACCCAACTTCTCTGGAGTATTGTATAATTGAAATCAATGCAAGACTCTCACGCAGCTCTGCTCTTGCTTCGAAGGCAACTGGGTAAGTACGACTCAAAAAGACCACTTTTGCGCTTTCGATCATATTCATGTCTAAAAATGCGGAATAGAAATATTAAAGTATATATCGGTTATAACGTATCTAACTGAGCTGATCTGCGCAGCAACTTATGCAGCTCGGGAACGACTCAGAACGGGATTTGAACCCGTGCCCTGGCGATTCCGGTGCCATGCCTTAACCACTGGGCTACCAAGTGTCATATGAGACTTCAAGGACACATGACGTGGGTTTATCGGCCCGATAGGAAAGATATATGCATATGAGAATATATATATATATATACTATATCCTTTGTTAATATCCCACTGATGTCTACCACGTATTTTGTCATTAATTATAGAGAGATTAATAATAGATAGAGTGTGTACAGTATCTAGCGTGGGTGAAAACCAGACTGCAGCGTCTTTGATTTTGTACACTGATGATATATATAACATTGCATCTATAATATTTCTGTTCAAGGTACCCACTAGCGTTCATCGCGGCTAAACTGTCGCTAGGAATTCAGCTGCCTGACATAAAGAACGCGACTACGCAGCTGACAACAGCATGTTTTGAACCGAGTTTAGATTACATCGTTACTAAGGTAAGACAATAAATATCGTTATCATCAAGGAGGGAAGGGAAGAGGGAAGGGAGGAGGGAAGGGAGAAGGGAAGAGAGAGCGCTCATTGGTTAATTGGAGGTGAATATTGTACGATATTCACTTCTGAATCTCGGAATATTGAGTCGGCAACAAAATGGCATCTGCCGGCAATCGCTTTGCTACAATTTCCGATGAGGAAATTGAAAAAATGAAAGTAAATGCCATTCCTGTCAATACTAAGAAGGCGACGAAGAATGGCCTAAAAGTTTTGCTAAAAGTTTTGCGTGAATTTGTCACGCAAGCTAAAAGTTTCTGTTTGTTTGTTTTTTATTGAATTATTATATATAACTCTGTACACAAGTTGGTATATGCTAAAACAATTATTCGCCTCAGGCTCAGTGAATATGGAGAATATCCTCGATATTCACTTCGCCTTCGGCGAATAATTGCTAAGTATTACTAGATGTACGCACGCCTCCGTGGTATAATCGCAAGGCAGCCCCATCCTTGTACATAACAGTTACAACATCGAGACACATGCTCATCATAGTATTACTAGATGTACGCACGCCTCCTTGGTAGAATCGCAAGGCAGTCCCATCCTTGTACATAACAGTTACAACATCGAGACAAATGTTCATAGCAATCATTTTTATTTAACATCGACAAATAATTGTAAACTCTTCTCAGGAACCAGCGCGCAGATACCATATATGCCCGCGTCCAGGCTGCGTCAGTCACAGTGGATGGACTAACTATTGTATTTGCTCTTACATTTATATGGGTTAACATTGATCAGTTCACAGCACCCTGTTGTTTCCTGAGATCGTTATGACTTAATCTGGTCGAGTTTCGCCGAGTCGTGTCTTCACGTGATTGGCGTTTAACCAATAACTAATGATTGCTAATCTAATAATTCTAACTTTAATATTCTGCTTAACAATTATTTAATATTAATACTTATTGAATAAGAATGATGATAATAACACAGTTCTTTACAGATTCATTTTTGACGGGGGTCTGATTGCTCGTCCGGTTCGTGTCTTTTTCTGTCCAGCCAACATTTCATCGGCTACGATCTCTTGGCGCTTTCTCTTCTTTCCGTTGTCCTTTGGCGGAGCCCTTTCTTGTACTTTGACAACTTTGACAACAGTATTCATTGTTGGTTTGGTGTTGACAAGACAGCGTTTCTTGCTTGTTTGGTCATTTTCTGTTTTTTCGTCGACGTTTGCTTTGCTGTGACTTCGTTTTCTTTCCTTCTTCTGTTCCTTCTTCACTTTTGGCAGCGGTGCGGACGAAAGTTGAATCTGTGTTTTTTTACTGCACACGTCGGCCAGTAGATTCAGGTTTGCTGACAAGTTTGACAGGTTTGACAAGTTTGGCAAGTCTTTTCCTTCTAACGGGGCTCTAAATGGAATACTATCAGGTGGAACAGTAATGTTTTCTTCTGCAATCTGCAGGCCTTTGGTCAGTTCTGTATTTTGTTCTTGAGTTTTGCCACCATTACGTACAAACACAGGCCGACTTGTTTGTGTGCTCTTGACTACGCTGTACTTCTGTTAACCAACAAATCATGGGATTAATATTAATTTATTTATAAGAGTATTGATGTGGCCCTCGTTTCGTCGCCCAAAGTATCCGATTAACATAAAAGACGTATATTCTACGACAATCACTTCTTGTACTGATAAAGAGACTTTTCTGTGAGGTGCGCTCCACACGCACTACCACTACATTCTATATTTAAAACATACAAAACTCAACTCATATGTTGATTTTCAAGGAGGGAGGAAAACCGGATTAGGTGGACAAAAACCCTCGTGGCAAGGGAGAGAATAACTCATCAAGCAAACTCGACTAATATATGCGGTCCATTCGAGGATCAAACGGGCGACCCAAGGCGTGAACTACGAAGATATGAGAAAAAAACAAACACCGTAGGATGACATACCACCCATGCGACCCTTTAACCTAATCTCCCTCCCTTATTTCTCTCGCTTGCCAAAGATTTTTACTTTTTGTGAGTCATCAAGAGTTTTTCCATCGAGACCAGAGAAGAAAAGTGTTGGTAAAAAGTGAGAGTTCACTTGTACGGTGAAATATCTGCAAAACTTTTTTTCTCCTCCTCTTCCTCCTCTTCCTCTTCTACCCCTCTTTACTATGCTTTAATAGAAATATTGAAATATGAATAAGTTGATTCGTCACTATGTGTTGCTTTGTAATTCTCACCTTGCTGGGCGTGGCAGCATCACATGAATTGGCACGCGATTCTTGGTTTCTTCTTGTTCTCAGACGAGAACTGCAAGGTTCCTTCAGTCTTAACAAAATCTCCTTTCTTTGCTTCTCGATCTGCTTTCTTTCTCTCTGTTAAGAAATTTCAATAGTTCAAAATCAGCTTTCATTGGCATGGCTCAGAACGCAAAACTGAATATACACTCTCCAAGGTGAAAAGATGTTATTTTTTTAAAAAATAACTAGAAAAGGACAGTATTTCAAATGAATAAGAATCGCACACTACCTCTGGTGTTTTGAAGTCAAGGATGTGTTTGTATAAATAGTAAAACTGCCTGCAATCTGTTGCGGTCTACAAAGGAAAAATCAAGATCATGCACAACGTTAATAATTGAGATCAAAAATATTTTCTGTCATATTTTGTTTCTTCTATTCTTCGTTTGCACGTTACGTCATCGCGGCCATGTTGGTATCATTTAACAAAAGATTTCTCATTAGCATCCATTGTTAACGGTACCACAATGGCCGCCATGTTTTTGTCTTTTAACTCTCTTGGGAATGCTTGCAACCCATCAATACAAACGAATTTATACACAGATCGAAATATGGCGACCAATTTGAATAACTATTGTTCTACACTGACTAGCGACTGACTAGCCTACATGTGAAAACGCTTTTATGTTTCCACGTGAACACGAGGCTAGTCAGTCCACAACAATAGTTCTTCAAATTGGTCGGCATATTTAGATTAATTGTGTATAAAGGTATTATTCTTGCAGAGCGTGTCTTACCTTGCCGGGAAGTGCTTTAGCAATCAGCTCAAACTTCCTCTCTTTGTTGCTTTGTAGATTTACGTACCTAAACAGAAAATTCCATTACATTCATGTTTCATTATTTTTGCAAATAACACAATAGACCTCTTTACTGATACGGCAGCCATCTTTAATTATGGGATGCCGAGGGGGTAATTCGTAGAACATTTATCGAACCATACAGTGGCGTGGTTACATTTTGAAACTAACAGCAAATCCAATTGCCTATTAGATGTGCTTCTCATCGAAAAGCGTAAAGTTATATTAAAAGACACCCTGACAGCCTGTGCAGTCTATACATTTTCCAATAGTTCCCCCTCAGCATCCCATAATATCTTAATTAAAATTATAGAATTTAAGATGGCCGCCGTATCTGTCAAAAGGACTTATTGAGTAAGGGCGTGGTCAGTACCTTTTTTAAAACGAACTGGAGAGTTTTTTCGATCATAAACTCGCGCCATAAGTTATTTGCACCACCGCTACACCACCCTTGACGTTCCCTTTAATAACAACAGTGTTTCTATGACTTACTTGTTGGTGAAGACTTTGACTTCTTGTTCGCTCCATTTCTCATGGAAGATTTTGTGACGATAGTTTTGACCATGATTCTGCAAGTCGTATATAGTAGGATCTGTGGGGGAAAAAATATTATATTTATTTTATGAGACTGAGAACACTGTCCTTCCCAAAGTTTTATAAGGAATTTGTATCGTTCGTTAAAGTTTGAAGGCGCAATCAACTTTAAAAAAAAAAACAGTTTCTAGTTTTGGCCGTAAATTTTTCTCGCTTTAGACAACGCCATGCCATAATACTTCATTTCCTAGAATATCATTTCTTTGTCTAATGTTTTCGCGTGGGAAGACACGTGGATATGGCCGATACGTTTCAAACAAAGAATCTTATTCACAAAGGAATGACACGTGGTCCAAAATGGAAACGAAAAACATTAGGCCAAAACTAAAGAGGCAGTGGTTTTTCCTGTTCTTTTTCTTCTGTTTTCTCATTAGACTTGCTTGTCGATTTTCTCACGTGCTCTCAATGGGTTTTTTCAGAATTTGACTTTTTGAGACATGAGAATCCTTTTATTGTCAGAGATTGTCCAAGCTTGTTGCGTATAACATCGAAAAAGAAAACGTTACCTGCAGGATGAATGTCTCGGCATTCTGATAACGGCCTGCATTCCGGTAGATCTTCGTCTAGTGATTGAAAGATGAATGATCATTTCTATTAACACACATATCTAGAAATGATAGTATTCGTTTTTATTCATTCTTTCACTTTACTTTACTTCACTTCTTAAAAGAAAAACCGAAAACCCACCCCTCCCTAAAAAAAGTACAACAATCAGCACCAAAAGTACCTAAGAGAAAACAATAAAAAATAACAATAAAAGCAGCAATTTAAGGCCTCTGGGCTAATCTATCTTTTCGGATTATCATCTTTACTTGTTAAAATTAAGGTCCATGCGGATAATAAAGTAGAATATGTAGATGCCTTAAACGGCAAGGATAGACCTCACTACGCATAAATTCTTTTTATTTAAGTGTTTAGTCGTTCAGGCAGCGCTTTTGAACTAATTGAAGATACTTTTACGATCACACACCCTACCATTACGTTCAATATTGTATTATTTGCTACTGTTTTAGCTAGATCTAATGTGTCTTACGTCGTATTGCGTTCTTGATATTCACTTGTGGTCTGTCTTCAGGTAGATACACTTCATCATTTAGTGGCTCTTCATTCACAACCTATCATCAACCAAGCACACACTCAGTAATTTTGATTTAAATATTTTACAAACGCTATCATCGTAACTTTACCAGACTATTTTCTTCCCAGTTCAGTGAAACATTTTTCAGTAAAAAAAAAAAAAGATAATAATAAATAAAAATAATAAAAAATTAAAAAAATAATCTGTTGGATAAATCATTATGCAGTGGTTAGCAATAAAAATTAGCCACACTGGATAAGATATATAGGTCAGATAGCGCTATTCGCCCTTCGTACAACCGGGCCCAGAAGAAGTTCTTCATTCTAATGCATTTGCGCACGTTTTCTTTAACCTGGTGCTTGAAAGATAATTTGTGTTTTCCAACAAACCATACCACAAAAGGAGTCTTAAGTAAGGAAGGTCGTACCTGTGGGGCTTGACCATCATTGTCGCTGTCATCGCTGGGCTTTGGGTTCCACAACCTTAAGCGACCATGCCGACTTGGTGCCCCATTTTCACTCCTAGAAAAATGAGAAATCCTTTTTTCATTCTTTGCTTATGTTAATGATTTTCCACAAGAATATCGCTAAATAAGTTTCTATTTTCTTACCTCTTTGTTGCATTTGTGTTCACAGACATGATGCTTAATATAATGTAGCTTATAACGATAATTACGATCCAAAAAATATTATAAAATTGCTCTGCGAGTAAATAGCCGTACAACAACGTCAAAACGCTAAAATCTTTATGAACAAACTTCATAGCGAGGTAATTTTCCATTGTGATGTCATTAAAGAGTGTTTGTGACGTAAAATATGAGACGAAATTCGCGGACTTGATTTCTTCTGTAAATACTTCGCTTTTACCTCTGTTTTGGAAAAGAAAACTCGCCGTCTTATTCATTTTGTGATCATGTGTTGCTCTGATAGTTTTCGTTTTGTTTGAATGTCGCAATTTTTTCAGTTGTTGGAATTTTGCTCGCGCGCGCGCTGTTACCCATAACACTTTGTCATCAGTAGCGCGTGCAATATGACCCACAAATATTTGCAGTTGTTGCGCGCGCTGTGTAGCCCATATATTATGACCATATTGTGGGCGCAGGGTGACTTATTTTCATCATAAAATCTGGTCTTCTTTTGCTGTGTTTTCCTACCCTTTTTCTTTCATTGAAGTTTGAGTTCCTAAGAACCCAAAAAAAGCTTTCCCGCGTTCTTTTGGAACATACTGCCTCAAAAATTGGTTTGCCAAAAAGTTTAATTTTATTTGTTTTTAATCAATACTACAAATAAGGATTTACCATGATGAGAGTAATAAATGAGAGTAATAAATTTGGGAATTGATTATTGTTTAAAAGTAAATCCGCTAATTTGCAATTGTGTTTTTGTAATTAATGTTTAGATTCCTAGATGGGACCTGGACAGATTTCATTTGACCCCGAAAGAAATCGGCAGTTCAATGAAGAGCGTCGGCGAGGTAAATAATGTATATTAACGCGTTTAGATATATTGTGGATTGAATTTCGCAGACCATTGTCTGGCCGTATTTTATCGTTCGGTATTAGTGTGAGTGAATGAAGCGCACTGTAAACATTAATTAGGAGAAGCCATTTCCAACGTCCTGTGGTCACCGTACGTTTTGAGTTCATACGAAACCGGTTTAACTGTCTGAAGCAGTTTGTTTTGCTTCCATAAGAAAAGGTTTGTCTATTTCTCTCTCTCTTTAAGGCTGTATTGGGTCCGACCCACATCCGCGAGAAGAGAAGAAAAGGTCACGGCACAGATTAAAGACATCCTTTTTATCCAATCACAGCACGGAAAATTACTGTTCATCCATTCAGAATGCTCTGACACGACCTGTTCGTGCTGCTAATTTCTATCGTCTTAATTATTCAATGTTTCGTTTCAATCCACAGGTGATGGCCATTGGTCGTACTTTTGAAGAGAGTATTCAGAAAGCCCTTCGAATGGTGCATCCATCTGTTGATGGCTTCGTTCCTAAGGTAAAAATACTGGTGTGAGGTTGCATAGCAATGACAATGGTTACCTTGGTGACGGCTCCCATGTTAAGAGCAGCAGTCATCATATCAACGACAGCTATTACCATGGCATTTTCAGGCTGTATTACTTGAGAAAGTTAGTATAGGGAGGTGATGATTATCAAAGGCGAGGCAATGGCTTCTGTGATGAGAACGACCATTACCATAGCAACGCAATTGAAAATTTAAGTGGAGAGTACCTTAACCATGTTTTTGGACTTAAAATAAATGAGTAGGCCATGAGTGGGTATATTTCTATACTATATATGTTTACAATTGTTTCATAGATTCCAAGTGGAAACAAAGATGTTGTAGATGGAGAAGCGTTTGAAGAGAATCTCCGTGTGCCCTCCAACACGCGTGTGTATTCCCTAGCCAGGGTAAATGCAAAACTCTTTGTAATACTCCATTTTCAAGTTCCCAGTCTCTGTAGCTCAGGACTAGCCTCGAATTTGTGCAGAATATTTATGTGTTCCATTGAAGGTCCGTGCATTTCAAAGTGTTTATTATAGTTTAAGTTGTGCATTCTTTACTTAAACGTTGGTATTTGTGAAAATTCCTGAGACACTTAAATGAGGCTAACCCTGAGTAAATGAGTCTGTAATCAAGGAACACATGGTTATTTGGAAGTTGAAAATTTATTAACTTCCAAACTTCATAATTGCATAGAATGTTCATATGTCATGTGTCCATGTGATGGTCTGTGAGGTTTTTGAAGAGTTTATATTGTTGACATTGCGTATTCTTTACTTTACCTTTGGTATTTGTAAAGATTTTGATTCGGAATGAATCCATCTCCAACCCTCATCTCTCCTCTTAATGAAGCCTTTTGCAAACCATGCCTATATTTAAAAAAATGTACCCTGAACTTGCCTTGTGTAATGTCCCAGTAATTTTAATGATCATTCGAATTATTTTTTCCGTCGTTTTGATTGGCAGAGGTAACTGCAAGTAACTCAGTCTCGTACCCAGAGCCTGCGTTTCTTCTGGCCTGCGGCGAAGAACGAGGGCTCTGACATAATCCATTTTTTTGGCGCAAGCGCAATTTTCCGGAAGTGAAATATAATCAATGAAAATCATGCTTTAAAATAGAGTTCTTTGTTTACTTCCGATCAAAATAAAACTTAGAAATCAGGAATTAACATATTTTTTTAATTTTTGGCATGTCTTTTAACACATTCTCTCTTATACCGGAAGTCCAATAAATCCTGGTCTCAAAAAATATATTATGCCAGAGCCCTCGTTCTATGCCGCAAGCCAGAAGAAACGCAAGCTCTGGGTACGAGATTGCAATAACAAATAACATGGCTACCTTCACCTTTCCTTGGTGTGTTTGATAAATAGCAAAGGCAGTCAAAACACAAAAAGAAAATGGAAGAAATAATTTGAATGATAAAAACAATTATTAAACTCAGTGATTAAAAAGTATCGTGATCAACCTCGTCTAATAATTATCGCCCACTAATCTGGCAAACGTTCCCTCAGTAACGATGTGTCATCAGTTTGACTTGTTCCTTGATGCTTTATTTATTGTCGTTTCCAGGCTTTTGAGAAGGGTTACTCGGTTAATAAAATTCACGAGTTGACAAACATCGATCCCTGGTTCCTTTACAAACTAAAGGAAATCATCGACCTTAGCAATGACTTCAGCAAGCTCAAAATGTAAGTATATGCTTTACTGATTACTGGGTTGTCTTAATCCATCTCGCGAAAAGTGCATTGTTGCGCTAGAGTATCCATATATGAATTTGAATGACGTGTCCATAGATTCTAGGCTCATAGATTGGCTTAGCAGCTGATGATGTAATTCCGGGCTTTAGAAGTAATATAATTGAGCAGTAAAAGAAGATTTTAGTTTTTAGTTATTTAGTTAATAGAAAGCTAAACTATTCTATATACTATTATTTTAAAAATCAAAAAAGAAAAACGGAAAAAAGGAGCAAAAGCGTGAGTAGGTATAATGTTTAGGTCACCCATCCAAATGCTAACCCTCCTCAGGCGAGCTTGACTCAGTATCTTGAACGACAACGATTTATCCACTGGACCACGGTTCCAGGTGAATCAGCATAACAATAGCCGTGAAAACAATGCACCGTATAGACTAGACTTTTTAACATTATATTTTCAACCGATTCCGTGCGTGGCAGAGATGCAAGGGAT